CCTTAAAGAAGACTGTCCTTATCCTCTAGATTTTCAGACATTACTGATCGTGACCAAAGCACTAATTCACTTTTCTAAATGCACAAAGCTGGTCTTTTTTTTAAGTTTATTTTGAGAGAGAGAGAAAAAAAAAAAAACAAGTGGAGAAGGGGCAGAGAGAGAGGGTGACAGAGGATACTTACCTACAGGAAATATCCCAATGAGGGGCTCAAACTCACAAACCATGAGATCATGACCTGAGCCGAAGTCAGATGCTTAACCAACTGAATCATATAGTTAGTCTTTTAAACAAGACATTCAGTGATATTTTCAACTCTCTCATCAGTCTTAGGCAGCAAGGCTCATAAAATACCATAATGACTTACTTAAACATGTTCAAATTGAAATACATGAGACATGGCATGTTCTGGCCATCAGTCAAACAAGAAGGGAAATGCCCATTCCAGCCCCACTGCTGACCGCCATAAAAGCCCAAAGCCACCCTCTTTTTCCTGTTCTCTCAATGTACTTTTGGACCACCTTGGGAGTTGCTTTACTCTCCCCTGAAAGTGTCATCATACTAATAATAAACCATTTTATAGCCTCTTGGTATATATGTAAGGCCATATGTCTTAACACCCAAACCTAACTTTGGGGTGGGGAGAGACATGCTGACTCTCAGATTGGCTGAAACAATTAAGGAAGAAACAATACTAATTTTACCCAAACTCTTCCAGAAAACTGAAAAAGGAACACAACACAATTCATTCTGAGATAAGAATTTCACTGATAGCAATTGAAGAAAGAAAAAAAAAAAAACTCAAGAAAATTACAGAACGATGATCCTCATGGACAGAGATATAAAATATTAAACCAAAATTCAAACAAACAAAATATAAAATATATAAAAGAAAAATACAGGGGTGCCTGGGTGGCTCATTCAGTTATGTGTCTGACTTCGGCTCAGGTCATGATCTCACAGCTTGTGAGTTCCAGCTGTGCGTCAGGCTCTGAGCTGTCAGCACTGGAGCCTGCTTCAGATTCTGTGTCTCCCTCTCTCTGTGTCCCTCCCCTGCTTGCCTCTCTCTCTCTCTCTCTCTCTCTCTCTCTCTGTGTATTTATATATAAAATATATTTTGACCAAATGGAATTCGATCCCAGACTACAAGCTTAACTTAACATTTGAAAATCTATTACTGACATTCATCATTTTAACAGAATAAATAAAAAAATCATATTCATACTAATACATGTAGCAAAAGTATAAAATTACACTTCATCAAAGTAAAAATTGTGCTCTACAAAAAGCACTCCTGAGACAATGAAAAGATAAGTCACGAACTGGGAAAGAATATTTGCAGGGCTTATATCTGGTATTTTACCAGATATATATAGATAGATAGATAGATCTATCTATATATATCCAAAATATATATCCAAGATATATATATATCCAAAATATATATCAAGAGCACTGAAGACTCAATAATAACAAAACAAATGAACCAATGTAAAAATGGGCGAAATTTGACAAACACTTCACCAGTGAAGATATATAGTTGACAAATAAACACATGAAGAAAGGCTTATCATCATTACTAACAAAGGAAATGCATGTAAACACTGCAATGAAATACAACTAAATACCTACACAAGGAAGGATAAAAGTAAAAAGGCTAACCAAGTACTGACAAGGGTGTGGTGTACATGAAACTTGCAGTCACTTCTGGTGAGATGCAGAATGTTACAGCAATTTTGGAAACCAGTTTGGCCATTTCTTAAAAACTTAAACAGCACCTAACCTATGGTTCAGTCACTGCTCTCCTACCAGTTAATTCAAAGAAAAGACAGTACCTGTTCATACATAGGCATGCACACAAATCTACACAGCAGATGTATTAACAATAGCTCAAAACTGGGGCGCCTGGGTGGCGCAGTCGGTTAAGCGTCCGACTTCAGCCAGGTCACGATCTCGCCCTCCGTGAGTTCGAGCCCCGCGTCAGGCTCTGGGCTGATGGCTCGGAGCCTGGAGCCTGTTTCCGATTCTGTGTCTCCCTCTCTCTGCCCTTCCCCCGTTCATGCTCTGTCTCTCTCTGTCCCAAAAATAATAAACGTTGAAAAAAAAATTTTAAAAAAAAACAATAGCTCAAAACTGGAGACAACACTAATGCCCAGCAACAGCAACTAAATAAATGTATTGTGTTAGTACACACATAGAACATTATTCAGCAAGAAAATGGAATGAACTACTCATACACACACTACGAATGCATCCAAAAATATTTATGCTGAGTACAATAAACTAAAATATAACACTAGATAATTATGATTCCCCTGATATAAAATCTACATGATGTAATCTAACACATAGGGACATATTAGGGATTGACTGGCAATGGGAATAGAAAGGTGGGAGGCCCCAGAGGGGAGATTGCAAAAGGGCATTAGAAATCTTCTGGTAGGGGAACAAATATATTTGTCATCTTGATTATGTTGATGGTTTCATAGGTACATGTACAAATACATCAAATAATATATTTTAAATATATCCAGTTTATTATATGCCAATATTACTTCAATAGAATGGTTTAAATAATGAATATAAGCAACTTCAGTCTGTGGCTACAAGAAAGTGATAGGGCCATATGGAAATTCTTCCTTTAAACAACTAAAGAAAACCAGACCAAATATATGCTAAAATGGTTTTTTAGACGTTAGACACCAGGTGGCACAGGACATTCATGGATGGCTGAAGGAAGCTTCCAAGATACATCTCATGGAGGAGGCACCCACACCTGGCCTGGCCATCTCCCTGAGTGCAGCACAGCAGATTAGGGGAAGGACATGGCAGCTGGTATTCACAGGCCAGAATACCAGAAAACCAAAAGAGAGCTGTAGGGAAAGTTTGGGGTTGGAGTGTTCCTAAGAACAGTTCAGTTCAAACGTGAGGAAACTACCCAAGGCACAATAAAGAATGAAATAGAACAATACTCAGAGGTTTACAGAGCCTATTTTCAAGCCACTACTCAGGGCCTTGAGAGTTAATGAAGATCTAAAGGAAGTTCCCCAATCAACTAGATGAAGGTGCATTTTTACCTAACTCCTATAACTTTCTCTCTGTTGGTTCTGAAATTCAGAGGGAAAGGTGGTTGTGTTTTGTTAAACTCTATAAACCCTTGAAATGAGAAATTGACCCCACCTTGATAACAGCAGACTAAGATCCTGGGTTTTTTAGCTCCCAGGGGTAAGGTGAGCACTACTAGATAGATAAAGGGAGAAGACCTTCAGTCCATTCAAAAGTCTGAATTCCAAGACAGAGCTTCCTTGCATTAGCGATTGACACGTTCTTCTACCTCCTTACCCAAAGAAAGCAGAACCTAACTGGTTGAAAAGGATGGAATTATCTGGTCATGGCAATGTCCCTCCAGGCAGAACTTCTCATGAGTGCAAACAAGTCCCTCAGAATCAATGATGTAACTGCACAGTCCCCCCAGAAAAAAAGAAGAACTGTCATGTGGAGAATGTCTATGTGGTGGATAGAAAGGTATAGCAAGCTCACTTAGGAAAAGGAAAATCCTGTGTAGGCTGGCATCTTACACTTGTGACTTCAGTTATTGATCAGAACAACCCCCATGTAAGCATTAGAAATGGTTTCTACTTCAGTATTTCTGAAGTCATTTATTTAGTAAAGTTGTAAATAAAAACTCTATAAGGAAGTTATCCAAACAAGTAGTTAATACACGTTCAAAAGTTTCAATACTGAGTATTGAATCAGGTCAACAAAAATAATCCAATCACATGTTTCCTTATTTGCAGACCTCTGCAAAGGTACTGCTGTAGTGAAAAATAAATAATCCATTTCAAAACCTCCAGAATTTCCAGTAAATGGTAAATATTGCAAGAAACTCTGGACTCTTAAAACTTGGAACCAAGAATAAAACTAAGGGAACCCATGAGTCCCCTGAATTGTTGGTAGTTCTGAGTGTGGGTCTGTTTGTTAAAGAGGTAGAGGGTCTAAAGCTTTTAGCAGTTCCTCATTCCCGGAAACCACCAAAATGAAATGATCATGTGTTACAACTACCATGGTTGGCAGTCAAGGCAAATACACAATCAGACTGACAATTAAGGCAGATACAAAGGGACATATATGGAAAAGATATTCAGTGAACAATATAGAACCCAGCCTAAAAGGTGATTACACAATAACAGTCTTAAGTTCATCTTCAGAATTCCATACTTGCTCAGACTTGATTTTCATAAAAAAATGCTTAATTTTGGATTTTTTTAAGCTAAAGCTGTAGCAATTCTGAATGAGAAAATCAGAGCTTTAAGTTCCAGATCCACCCAACTCTATTATTAAATTGCTGTGTGAACTTGAACAAATCTTTGCAGTTCTCTGGGCCTCTGTGTCCTTGTCTGTCAACAGAATCGTTGACAAGATTGATGAGCTTCATCTTAGCTAAAATTCTTTGCATTCAGTGACTCATGAACTTGTGAGATCACTATGCACAACTCATAGGCAGCCAGTAACTTCTCATGAATACAGGATCATCTCACTGATAGATTTTGATCCTAAGACATGAATAAAAGACATCCTTTTAAAAGCTTTCTTAAATTTCGGGCCTCAGAACAGGGTTAGAAAGTAACCTATGAAACAGAAAAAGCAGCTGTCCTTACATAATAGAAGCTATAAATTTGGCTGAAGACATCTGTTTAAACAAGTTAAAACCATACCACAGAGTAGTAGTTATCAAACTGATCAATAAATAATAATGTACAGAGGCCTGCCTGAGTTGAAGTGACACCTAGCTAAAGGGGTAAAACATGGAGATACAGCATGTGGAGGCCAGACGTACAGAACTTAATATGATAGTCAGCAGGTATCATAAACATACACACACACACACACGTTTTTCCCATTCTGTCAATACAACTAGATCCAGAAAGATTATGTGCTTCACAGTACTATACAAAACACATTGTCTCCCTGGGATAAAATAATTCAGTGATTACTAAAAAACATACCTGGGATTAAAAACTCTTCTCCGTAAAAAAGCATAGTGACATTATGACCATGATCTTGAAGAATCTCAGATACACGGTCCAGTAGTAGATAATGGCTTCCACCTAGGAACAACACAAAATTTCATTTTTGTAAAGCTGTGAACAGAGGCTCTGAAATTGATGTGGCAGTTGGGAAATCCATGGTAAGGGGGCAGGAAGTTGATGGTGAGCACAGGAAGATGAGTTTCTTCAGCCCCACTGTCTCACTTAAGGTAAGCCCCAGCTAAGGGCTTCCCAAATTTTGACCTGTGGTAATCCTCCATCAAAAATTTCCTGTGGCTCATGGCCTCCATGTCAGTGTGATGAACTTCTCTGCTTAGGCCTCAAGTAGTTCCTGATCCTAGCGACATGCTCATTTTAGCCAGGCCTTGTGGAGATACCATGTCCTGAAGAAATAACTGTACTGGTGGAAATTAGGCACACTGCTATAAATGGAAGTGGGAAGGGTTCCTGATAATCAGTCAGCACTCTTTATGGAATCATTCTCCATGTAAATTCATGTTAGAGGGGGAATTAGAAACATGGAATATTGAATATTAGTCCAAGAAATAGTCATTAAAGCAGAAGGAGGTAGATCCACCACTTAGAAACAAAATCCTTAAGGGGCATCTGGGTGGCTCAATAGGTTAAGCGTCTGACTTCAGCTCAGGTCATGATCTCACAGCTTGTGAGTTCGAGCCCTGCGTCGGGCTCTGTGCTGACAGCTCGAAGCCTGGAGCCTGCATCTGATTCTGTGTCTCCCTATCTCTCTGCTCCTCCCCTGTTCACACTCTCTCTCTCTCAAAAATAAATAAACATTAAAAAAATTTTTTAAATGAAACAAAATCCTTGAGATTCAAATATATTTAGCAGGATTCCAAGTTTCCAGTTAGGCCTAAAAATTTCTGAACATGAAATTAAGGCATTCAGGATAACTGTGGTCATTAGGGCATAACTGTAAGATCCTGCACATGACAGAGTTAGGCATCACCTATCCTAAGAAAATCGTGAGATTCTAAGGAAAGAGAAGCTTACTCCTAGGGGAAGTACTGGTTCTATCTTGCAATGATTGTCTAAAACTATGCACCATCAAGGAGCATTTCTCTTGAATCTATGGGTCTCAGAGCAGGGAATGTCCAATTAGGAAGAAAAGAATAGAATTGGCCCACATTGGAAAGAGGGGTACTTTGGAAGATAACGACTTTGTAGTGATTAGGTCAGCAGAGTGGGATGTATGACTACAGTAATGGTGTGTGGGAATTACTCTAATTTTTAATTTGTGTTTGTGTTTCCTGAGGTAACACAGATTACATAAAGTACAAACCCTTACCCCCTCAGACTGCTTGCTCTAGCTTACCTTTAACCTATGTAAGAAACGGATGCAGGGAGAGGAGAGTTAAGATGGCAGAGAAGTAGGAGGGCCTTGCCACTCAAACACAGCTGTGTTGATGTCAGATCACTTAGAACACCCAGGAAATTGAACTGCAGAGCAGCCAAATGATCTCCACATTTGGAGGGATACAGCTTGGCAGGACTGAGGTGGATATATGTGATTTTAGGGATATACAGTGGCAGAGCATAGAGGAGAGAGAACCCCTTCTGTGGAGAGACAAAAGGGAGAGAAAGAGAAAGGGATTATGAAAGTGCAGCATGGAGTTAGGACAAGAGCAAGCTTCTCTGGACTATGGACTTGGGAGCAAGAAGTACTGAGTGTCCCAACTCTTTGTTTGCAACAGCCTTGGAATTGAAACTCAGAGTTTTCAGAAGTGTGCAACTTTATCCAGACTGGATCCCTGGCTCATGCTCCTGGCGAGGAAGCAGCCACCCCAGGGTGCATAGTGTGGTGTAGCAATCTCTGGGGTGCCCTGGGAGAGAAAAATTCTCTTCTCAGAGTACTTTGAGATGAAGGGTTTTTGTCTCCCC